CCTATCTTACTGCTGTCCCTACAGGAGGCTACTATATATCTGAATGGCTGACAAAATCGGTATGGTCACTAAATTCCCTCAATGTTTCCCTTTTTTATCTCGTTCTTTAGAGTTGTTGGTGCTAACAAATAATCCGAACGGGTGGTGGCATCAGGCATGGTTTTTGTCAGTGACCTGTTACTGCCTGGTGGTCTTTAGACCCTGGTTCTGCTTCGCAAAGAAACAAAATAACTAAATAGTCTTATGTCAGAATTATCAATTTTAGACTGATTACAGCCACCATGCAAAAGAGAGAATGATACAGAAACATGACTCCTTTGTCTTCTTCTTGTAATAAATTCATACCATCTGAGCTTTTCCCTTGGCATCGCCTCCGCCACCGTTTTCTATTTGATTCACTTCCCCCCTTTTCTTATATCTATACCAAGATGCACAAGCCAAGTAAACTCCAAAATTCACTATGCTTATCCCTGCTAATAGCCAGTAAAAGTAGTTCAACTTGTCTCTATTCAAATTGTTATTAGCCAGCCATCCACCAGTAACTTTGTTTACCACCTCTACCACCACAGAGCTCAAGAAGTAGCCAAATGCCAGTGAACACCATGAGATTGCTGTGCTCAGCGATTTCATACCAGCCGAGCTCTCTGCATAGAAAAATTCTAGCAGCCCAACCAATGTGAACATATCAGCTGCTCCAAAAATCGCATATTGGAACCCAAGCCATAAGAAACTCATTGGCAACGGCTCAGTTGAGTCAACCATGTTGTGTTCAACAGCCACCGATTTGCGACTTGTTTCCACAACTCCAGCAACTGCCATGGAGATTGCTGAGAGCACTAGACCGACTCCAACGCGCTGGAGCTGTCGAATTCCAGTTGGAATCCCTGTGATTTTTCGAGCAAGAGGTACGAAAACGCGTTCGTATATGGGGATTAGAACAAACATGAATAGCAGGGGGATTACTGGTAGTGAGGGGCCAGGAACTTGGAAGCCAAACACACGTGTGTCCATTGTGATGCTCTGTTGGACCGAAAAAGTCTGGAGCTGAGCCAAGCAAGTGTTCATGAAAACAGTGCTAAGTATAATTGGAAGCATGCGGATTAGGATCTTTGTTTGTTCAATTTGTGTCACTGAGCATAGCCTCCAGGGTCCATGGCTGATTGAGGTTGACGCATCGTTAGTCGTCTTTGCGATTGCTGCCCGGTCCAAGAACCTGGAATTTAACAGGAATGTATGTACTTTAATATTCGTTCATGGTTATGATCCGTTGCAACAGAGGTGTCAATTTTATATCTTTTACCTGAATTGGTCGGTCCATGGAAGAATTTCTCGTTTCACCCCTGCATCTTTGTCATGAATTTCATGCAAGTCTTCTGCCTTCTCTGGAATTGGAAGGCCTCGGTTCCGGATTGCAGCCACAAATACCTACATTTATGAGCAAATTAGATGGGAAATTCATTTTATCTAACATACCAAGACTAATGATCAGTGGGAAGGTACTACAGTACCAATACAAGCTCTTTACGAAGTTATTAGTTACCTGCGCAAAGCTTGTGAGGGGGCTTCCCTTGGGCACATTGTTGCGATACAAGGACTTGCCCATGCTTGCAAAGAAAATAGCAAGAAGGACTGCTATAGCACTCACACCAAAACCCAAATCCCACCCTTGGTTTGTACTTATCCATACAATAACAGTGACTCCTAGTATAGCTCCAATGGTGATGCTAAACATCAACCAGTTGAAAAAACTAGACAATCGAGATGCCTCCTTAGGGTCATTCTCGTCGAATTGATCAGCTCCTAATGATGGCAAAGAAGCTTTGACACCACTAGTACCAAACGCAATAAGGTACAGACCGGCGAAAAGTATTGCAGCTTGGCTCCCATCTGCACCTTCACATTGGTCTGGTGAAACACCTTTGCAAGGACTTGGTCTTAGATGGTGGAAGTGAGCTTGGACTGTTAGGAGGCCATATCCCTGGAAAACACAACATTTTAATCATAAATACTACCTTTATAAAAATCTTTGAACAACGGTGCAGATTCTGTACATCATCATCATCATTGTACAAAGGGTGATGCTCTCTCTCTCTCTCATTCCAACTCAGGCCTTTAAATTTAGCTGAAGCTCACAAAATATATCCATCTTGATGTAAAATACAAGTATCAGATGTTCTCATAATCGTATTTTTTTTTGGAAGAAGACCATAAAACCATTACATGTTTTTTTTAGCCAAATATAAATTTCTGAGTTAATAGATAAATATTCATACACTTTATTATTAGGTTAGGCTTCATCCGCTTATAAAAAATAAATCTAATCTAAATATCTAAATATTTAAAAGAGTTAATAAATAAATTAATCATTTTCTCTATTTATATATATAAAAGAACATAATTCATCTGAAGAAATAAGTTTTGAATGTTAAAAAAATAATTTTTTTAATATCTTGAATTTTTTATATTAACTCGATAAGATTTACAAGATTTTTATATTATAAAATATTGTTTTAGTTTTAATAATTAAAATAATATTAAAGTAATTAATCTGAAAACAAGAAAATAATATGTTAAATCTACACATATATAAAAGACATGCGCCCTTAATATATATATATATATATATATATATATACCTGTGTATGGTAGAAGTTATTGATCATGTTCTTTAAAGAAGTTTGGAAATCGTGTACATGCATGTATGCCCTTTTTCCAATAAAATGGGCCAGATAATACACAATAATTCATGATTCTTAATGAGAATTTGGCCGTTCATAATTTTCTAATGATAGCATAATTATTTGGACATACCATAAACTCCACGCATCCAAACAAGACACAAGCCTTGAATCTTGTCATATAGGTGTCGCAAATGAACCCTCCAAACAGCGCCACTAAAAATGAAGTACCCATGAAGTTGGTAAGTGTTGTGGCAGATTTTGTTAAGCTGAAGTTCATGTACCCATAGAAATAAGTCACCAGGCTGACGGCCATACAGATGAATGCCATGTTCTCTAGTCCCTCCGCAGCTGCACAAATTCACCAAAACTAACACTAATTAGCTCATCAATATGCTTCAGAAGGATGAAATGAGGGAAGCAAATCCACTTATCACTACCCGAGTTGCACACCCACGCACGTAGTAAGTAATTAACATTCTTACCGAACACAAACAGTGCCGCTCTGTTTCCTCCTAGCCTTCTTTCTCGCTTGGGTTCGACTTTAATGTCTCTGGAGACGTCCTGCAGAGGATATCACAAAACCTTTATTAATTAGTTGCCTAAGAGTGTACAATATGCAATGCTATGGAATAGTATAAGTGAAAGGAATCAAAGAGTAAATGAACTAAACGGTTTAATCAGCCATTAGAAAGACAATTCGTTGGCTCTTGGGTCATTGAAGAAAGGTGGTGTAGAACAGTACTTGAAATAATTCAGCAGACAATACCATTTTGTTGAATCTCTTTTTGGGAAGGAAATGTCGCTTCTGAGAGATGGTATGATCTGAAACCAAACTCTGGACAATAATACATATATATATAGATATATAAAGACGAGTTGAATCCTACTGACTGGCATGAAGAACAAAAAGGAATCAAAAGGCATCGGCATCTAGTAGTTTGAATAACATTTTGGGTCGGTTTTGTTTCTTATGATACCTCCCTCTCTCTTCCTATACTTTGAGACTATGTTATTAGCTGACAGCATGTATTGTTTGATGCCTCTGATCCATAATTTGTTGTTTTGTTCCTGTAGCTAGGGAGAGAGTTGAGTGTTTTGATATTCTACAAATCCTCCTCTTATAATTGGTTTAAGAACATAATAAAGATGAATATTGGCTGCGACTACATTGATGAGTTAGTTAGGCAAATAAAAATTGGAATTGCGGCTATTTTTCAAGCACTTGAGCTTGCAAAGGCGTGCTTAACTGACGCGTGCAACATTTCAACATCGTCATAATAAATTATTCCCCTCAGCCCCCGTCACATGCATGTCTATTGGTGTTGATAACTCTGCTGACCTCCTATTTCACCTAAAACAACTCACAAGAGAGCTGCCTAACATGTCTGTGTTTTTACCCTAAAAAAGTCCTTGATTTGTACAGGAGTTCATGTCATGTAGAGGTGGTGTTCTATATTCGTTAGCCAGCAGCAACAGAAGTTTCAGTTTCTTAATTGTCTTCTTCTGTGTCTTTCTTTAATCCAATTTTTATGATGGCATATTATGGCCCCATAATTAAGTTTATTAAATATTCAAGCTAGCGATGTTTTAGTGTTATAATGCCATTATTATAGTTGCATAGATCAATGAATTTAACAATCAACGTTCATATATACAACACCTACCCAGGGGCGGAGCTGGGTTCATTTTATAGGGGAGGTCAAAATTAATTTAATAATGTATATATTATTAAAAAAATTATTTATTTAAATTAAAAATATTAAATAATAGAAAATATTAAAAAAAATTGCAGGGGCCCGGGCCCTGCTTACCGCCCCCTGGCTCCGCCCCTGCACCTACCAGCTTGATGTTGATATATAGTTGAATTCGCATCACAGCTTACCGGTACCAGATCAGAATATGTGATTCAGGGATTTACAAATAATGGTAATGCGGTTCATGTATTATCACATTCTTGGTCTCTCAAAATTAATTTTGCTTCTAAGCCATGCCATGCAGGCATGGCAGTAACCGTTGTCGTTCATCAAGGATTAGGGCCTTTCTCCAGTGCTTTCGGAGAGATACAAATGCCCTATAATTGACGGGGGACCGGATGTTTCCGGTTATAAACGTAGGATATATATCCGTTAATGGTTCAAACAGTATATCTACCAGGGGAGAGAAGACGACTGAAGAAAAATAAAGCTTTGGTTCATTAAAAGGAAAAGAAAGATTTGATACATTCTGACTAGAAAGAAAGAGAGGATCATAAGTAGATGGCTTGTGAATAACAGTAATCAAAGCGAATTAACTAATAACTACTAGCTAATAATAAAACAACTATTTGACAAAAGAGCATCTTCATATGATATTTTGGTCAGATTCATCACTGTTTCTGGATTTCAATCAAACAAAACTAAAGAGTTCATGATGAAGTTAAAAAATCCAAAATATGAAAATCACATTATTTAGTATTTTGAATATGGTTAATAAATATGTTTAAGTATTTGAATTTCATCTTTTAATTTTCAAAGTTTTTAGATTTATAAATCTAACATATTTATTAAGCCCATGTTATTTTGAATATAATTAATTATAAAAAATAATTTTTTTAGGTCTAGCTTATTTAGTATATCTATATTATTTTAATTTGACTGATTACTAAATTTAAATTCTTTTAAATTTAATATATTTATTAAATATATAATACTTTGAATTTAACTGATTATCAAATTTAAAGTATTTTAGATTTGATATGCTTACAAAACTCGAACTACTTTAAACAAGTTAAAATATTTTAAGTTTAATATATTTATTAAACTTATTTTATTTGATTAAAAAAATTTAATTTATAAAAATCTTAACCAAATATTTTAACTCAACAATTTAATATGACAACTTGCTTATGTGGGTCTTTCGGAAAGAAACATTGACATTTCCATGAGAATGGAGTTTCGGCATGTTGTTCTAGTTCTTTGCGCAATCGTTTAATCAAATGTGCTAGAAAATATGTGATGTGTTAGGTTCGGAGCTCCTTTTTGGTCTCTTATGAAGTGGTATCTTCCTCTCTAGCCTTGTCATCAGTTAATTTGTCATCTCTAAATGTGACTTGGAGACGACGACCGGTTTACTTCCGTTTCTCTAGCCAGACAGTAAAATCTTGGAAATTCAATTTGTAATGAAAACTGAAGATCACCATATCATTAGTTAAACAAAGTAACTCTAGATCAGTTAGAATTTGATTTCAATTAAGTTTTCTTTTCCTTTGAGAGGTGGTAATACTGTAGCCTACGGATGATGTGAAATCAAAGTTTTAAAAGTGATGCTGTTCTATTATGGGAGTTGGTAAGATATCACAAAAGCTGATCTCTTGGCAGAACTCGTTCAATAAACAGATCTAGGAGTAAGGAACTTAAGATAATTCGATTTGTTTGTCATGGAAGAAATTAGATAGATTTCATCCTTCGACTACTCACAGAGTTGTGGGAGAAGTGCAAAGTTAGCACCGAAAGGAAACAACAGAGTAATGGGGGTAGCCAAGCAGATTCTTTGGCTCGTCCTGTTGAAAGATTCGACAGAGTGGATTGGCCTGTAAAGCTACTTACATATAGACCTTTTCTAGATAATAAACTATGAAATAAAACACTATTTTTTTTTTCTTTCTTTCTCTTTTTTCTTAAGAGAATGTCCAGCTACCGGAAGTCAAGTCAATTGAATATTTGAAAGTGCTAGCATATTTCCCCATCAAAATTAAAAAAATAAAATAAAGAGCCGAAAAAGGGTTGCGAAAACAAGAGGAGCCACATTTGGACTTTAAAAACGCGAACCCGAAGAGAAGGCCTGGGAATCTATATAGACCTTCCGTGCAATGGTAAATGGGCCTTCTCATAAAGACACACAGCAGAACCTTTTAGGTCTATTCAACTTTACAACGCCGAGAATCCTTCCTCGGCTATCAATGCGCTCCCGCCCACACACCCTCACGACGTTTATTGCTACGCAAATTTACAATTGTAAATGATGACAACTTGGCAACATTCCGTTGGATTTCTAAAATGTGTCTTCATAATTCGAGCACGTCATGTCTATTTTTAAATTATTTTAATATATTAATGTTAAGAATAAATTTTAAAAAATAAAAAAATATT